TTCCTTAGTTGATGGGCATTTGGGTTGTTTCCAAGATTTAGCTTTGTCAAACTGATGCTATCGACATGGATGCACATTTATCTTTGTAGTATGATATTTTCAATTCTTCTGGAAAAATACCTAGCGGGGATCAGTTAGGTTGAATGGGACTTCTAATCCTAGGTTTTTGAGGAATCTCCAGCTGATTACCACAGTGGTTTTACCAGTGGAGAAGGGTGGAGAACGGTTCCTGTTCTCCAACAGTGGATTCCTTTTCCCCCATAGCCTCTCCAGCATTTGTTATTAGTTGATTTCCTTATAATAGCCATTCTTTCTGGGATGAGATAGACTCTCAGTGTTTTAATTTGTATTTCTCAAATGACCAATATGATTGAACATTTTAAAAATATATTTATTTTCCATTTGTATTTCTTCATCTGAGAAGTGTATATTCATCTCAGCTGCCCATCTTCTTATTGGGTCTTTGAATTTTGAGGACCTGCTTCATTTTAATTCTTTATATATTCTAGATTAAAAGTCCTCTGTCTGAGGGACTGTTTACTAAGATTTTTTTTTTTTTGCCAATTTGTGGGTTTTCTTTTCATTCTGTTGGTGATTTCTTTCCATGTGCAAAAACTTTTCAATAAGATGATGTCCCAGTTGATTCTTTGAAGTATTTCCCACAGTTTTTTTTTTTTAACACTTTCATGGGATCAATGATATTTTATTTATTTATTTATTTGGTTGTTCAGTTATTTTGTTAGGTAGGTAGATTGTTAATACCAGGGATCGAACTCAGGATTTTGTGTTTGCCATGCAAGCACTTAAGGTGCTGAGCTATCTGCCCAGCTCTTAAAATTTTTTTCTTTTTACTTATTTATTTTTTTAAATTGGATACAGGGTCTCACTATGTAGTTCAGACTTGTAGTGATTCTCCTGTCTCATCCTCCCCTATACTGGGATTACAGGTGTGTGCCACCACACCCAGTTTCGGGGCCAGCAGTACATGCGGTACTGGGGATCAAATTTGGGACCTTGTGCTTGCCAGGCAGGTGCTCAGGCTGCTGAACTATCTCCCCAACCCTCTGCTGAGCTATCTCCCTAGCCCTGGTTTTTGTTTATGAACTCTCTATCTAGCCCTATGTCTTCAAGATTTCTACCTACTTTCTCTTCCAGTGGATTTAGTGTTTAATAGTTAGATCTTTAATCCATTTTGACTTTAGTTTAGTGGGAGATAGACATGGATCTAGTTTTAGCTTTTGGCATGTGGAAAGCCAGTTTTTCCAGCTTCATTGGTTAAAGAGGCTATCTTTGTTCCAGTAAACATGTTTGGCCCCTTTGTCAAGATAAGGTGGCTGAGTGTGTTTGTAGTTGTGCCTGCATCTTCTAATCTCTTTCATTGATTCTCAAGGCTGTTTTTTCTTTTTCTTTTTTTTTTTTTTTTTTTTTGCCATTACCTTGCTGATTTTATCACAGTAGTTTGGTGATATAATTTCAAGTCAGGGATTGTTATGCAGCATATCAGGATTTGTAAATCCTGCAAAAGTGATAAGGAAAATCTAAACAAAACAAAGCAAAACATGACCTCAGCTGGAATCTCAAAAAAATTAGACAGAGAGTGAATGAAACATCAAGTTGAAAAAAGGCAATAATTAAGATCAAAGTAGAAATCACTGAAATTTAAAACAGAAAAGGAAAAAAAACCCCAAAAAATGAAATGAAAAGTTGGTCTTTAGAAATGATCAACAGAATTCATAAATCACTAGCTAGATTGGCAGAAAGAGGATGAGGCAGAGGGATAGACAGAACAAATCACTAAGGAATACAAAAGGTATCACTAGTGAAAACAGGTATTAAAAATTAAGGAATATTATGAACACTATTATGCTGATATATTTGACAAATGAGATAAAACAGACAAATTTCCTGAAACACATAAACTACCAAGCTTATTCAAGAAAAAAGTCATAAAAGCCTTCTATTAATCATAAATTTAATTTATATTTAGATACTTTCTCATAAAGAAAACATCAGGGCCTATGACTTCACTGGTGAATTATGCCAAATATTAAAAAAAAATTAGTATCAACTCTAAATCCACTTTTACAGAAAACCAAAAATGAAGATGTGCAACCCAATTCATTTTATGCCTGACAGAGACACTGAAAGAAAGCCACACACGGTCATCCCTATAGATCACTATATCCACAGATGCAAAAAATCAACCAAAAATTTCAGCAACTTGAATTCAACACTAAGTGAAGAAACTAGCACACACTGACCATGTAAGGGATATTTCAGGAATGCAGATTGGTTTAATATATTTTTTAAAAGATCCATGCTGCCCTATTAACATTTTATGAAACAAACTAAATCACCATTTTGGAGGGGGAAAAAAAGCATTTGATAAAATCTAACATCCATTCTTTTTTATTTTTATTTTTTTTAAGAGCAGAATATATTTATTGGGGGAAAGAAAGCTTCTGAGAGGGACAGAAGTGGGGAGGGTGAGTGGGTTGTCTCCTGGGAAGCTGTCTCTTCTAGGGACTTTATAGAGTAATACCATGTGGTGAGGTGGGTTCAAGGTGGTGGAGAACATGGGAACTTACTTAGATGGGCATGATGTAGGACAAAACAATGGTCAACAAATGAGTTTACAAGCACCGCTGCTCAGGTAAAATTGATTAAATCCAGTACCAAATGAGGAAATGAGTCACATACCAAGTGGGCATGAACATGGGACAGGGTCTCTTCCTGTTGGGGGTTGGGTTAGTGACTCATTCTGGCTCTTTCAAGGTGATTGATACCTATTTAGAATATCAATCCCTGACACACATCCCTAGGGAAGTATATGGCTGCATCTGTTTACTTTTGTCTTGTGGTGTGGCCCAAAGCAGGAGCTAACAACCATTCTTGGCTAAATACAGTGGTACCTTAGTTTATGAATGGATGAGAATCAAATTCAATGGTTAGGTTCAATGTTCAACCTTGTGGGGAAATTAGTTTCAGTTCTTGCTTAGTTCGATTTTTGTCTATAGGGTCTCACTATGTAGATTG